AAAGAGCAGAAACCCAGCGCCGGAGAAGAGCATGAAGCTCCCAGACCCACCCCTCAGAGGCCAATGCCAACAGGAAGAGAGCCTTGGCGAGACAATCCTGAACCGAAAGGGCCACAACAAACCGATGTAAAGAGAGATAAGAGAGAGAACCCTGTCCAACGACCAGAACGTCTCAGATGGCGCATGAGCAGGCCAGTGGTGAAACAATGCCCAAGACAGCTTGCGAAACAGCGTAGAACATCGATGCCAAAAGCAAGCTGCAGTGGCTCTGCCAGCACCACACGATACGAGGCAACAGTATTCGGCATAAGAAGATGATCCTGAAACAGCCACGAGAGAAAGGACAAGACCACCTTAACAGAAAGCGAAGTATATACCTAAGAAGAGACAAAATGAAATGGGAAAGACCGCCAGGAAACTTCATACTGTCACCGAGACGAAGCATGCAGGTGGGAAACCATTAACCATTTAACTGTGCCAACCGAGTATTTTCGGTCAATGGGAAACTGCTCCAACCGAGAAAATTCTTTTGATTTTTCTGTACCCATTCTAAATGTGTGTTTGGTTGGTTGTGTACAAAATGGACTCTTAGGACCTCCAGTGAGAGGCAGCCATCTTGGAAAAAATTCCAGAATGCCCTAGGACTGCTGGCTGGGTTAGTACTGAGTGAACAACCATGGGTGACGCACAGCACTGAGACAAGAAACAGGAGCTGGAGTCACACGATCAAGCCTCAATCACATCAGCAAAGAACTGAAGGTGTGGGTAGCCAGTGCGAGGGGTCTGGGGCTCCCCATTTCCCCCTCCCGGGGAGGGTGCAGCTGCACAGACGGCGGCGCGGCAACATGGTGACATCATGCTTATTTGCTTGTTTTTCTATGGGAAGTTCTGTACACTCATTTGATTTTTAGTAGTAGTTTTAACCAGAATAGGGGTTTGTTTTGAAATGCTTACCTTTTTGGGTGCCTGACCCAATCAATGGCAGACACAGAGCTACGAAGAGAGGTTAGAGGCATTAAATATGCATAAACTAGAAGATAGAAGAAAAAGAGGCGATATGATCACTATGTACAAAATAGTAACAGGAATCGATAAAATTGATAGGGAAGAATTCCTGAGACCCAGAACTTCAAGAACAAGAGGTCATAGATTTAAACTAACGAAACAAAGCTGCCGGAGAAATACAAGAAAATTCCCTTTTGTAAACAGAATGGTAGACGGTTGGAACAAGTCAGGCGAGAAGGTGATGGAGGGGGCCAAAACTGTCAGTAACTTCAAAGCGTTATATGACAAAGAGTGCTGGGAAGACGGGACACCACGAGCATAGCTCTCATCCTGTAACTACACTTAGGTAATTACACTTAGGTAATTACAGAATGCTCCAAATCACAGGTGCAGTTCTATAGGCCATTGCTCCTTGGGCCTCTCTAAGGGGGCCAGGTTCTGGCTCGTAGTCCCTGGTAGACCTAAGAACTCCATTCACACTGACTGATGCCAAAGTCTAATAGTTCCACATCAGCCTGGAAAAGCTCCAGGAAGCCAAAGGGCTCCCCCAAGAAAAGCACAAAAACAATGAAATTCTTCACAAGGAATTCAAGCAGCAGAATTCATCACAAGGTGGGAGACACTGGTCATATGAAGCGCCACACCTGTTCGCCCCTATGTACATGTATGAACAAACTCCAAAAACCGAGGCAAACAAGCAGAACCGAATCAAATTTTTTGGAGAAATCAAGTACGAGTACCGAAAAATATGAGAACAGGGGCATACGAGAACCAAGGTTCCACTGTAGCTTACTAACGGGTTTAAATATTTGACGTCTCATAATATTACCAGTAAATATTTGATCAAAACAAAATTTAGCATTCTGATCGGTTCTTGTGATTTTGGCAAATCAGTATTAAGTAACCTCTTTTTTTCTAAATTATTTTTGTATTTGATTTATTAGTGCCAGTAAATGATGATTAAGGACATTTTGTTCATTAGCTATGATCGACAGAACTCGCACAAAGTAAATTCTCACCATGGATTCTAGTGTAAAATATTATCCCACAAACTTGCAATATATAACTTGTCCTGCCTCACCAAATGCTACCTGATCTGGCTCACCAAATGCTACCTGATCTGGCTCACCAAATGCTACCTGATCTGGCTCACCAAATGCTACCTGATCTGGCTCACCAAATACTACCTGACCTGCCTCACCAAATACTACCTGTCCTGGCTCACCAAATACTACCTGACCTGCCTCACCAAATACTACCTGTCCTGGCTCACCAAATACTACCTGTCCTGGCTCACCAAATACTACCTTATGATTAACTGGGAGTTATGATTAGTAAGAACTGGGAGTTATGATTAGTAAGAATTTAAAACAAAAGGATCAATGCATGAATGTTCGTAATAAGGCGAATAGGACACTGGGATTTATTAATCGAAGCGTTAGTAACAAGACACCTGGTGTGGTTCTTAAGCTATATCTTGCTCTGGTTAGGCCCCATTTAGATTATGCAGTTCAGTTTTGGTCGCCGTATTATAGAATGGATATAAATTCACTTGAACGTGTCCAACGTAGGATGACTAAGTTAATTCCCCAAATTAGAAAGCTTTCATATGAAGAAAGATTAACAAAGCTTAAGTTGCATTCACTGGAAAGGCGAAGAGTTAGGGATGACATGATAGAGGTTTACAAGTGGATGAATGGACATAACAAGGGGGATATTAATAGGGTATTAAAAATATCAACACAAGACAGAGCACGAAACAATGGGTATAAATTGGATAAGTTTAGATTTAGGACAGACTTGGGTAAATACTGGTTCAGTAACAGGGTTGTTGATTTGTGGAACCAATTGCCGCGTAACGTGGTGGAGGTGGTGTCCCTCGATTGTTTCAAGCGCGGGTTGGACAAGTATATGAGTGGGATTGGGTGGTTATAGAATAGGAGCTGCCTCGTATGGGCCAATAGGCCTTCTGCAGTTGCCTTTGTTCTTATGTTCTTATGTACCTGTCCTGGCTCTCCAAATACTACCTGTCCTGCCTCACCAAATGCTACCTGTCCTGCCTCACCAAATGCTACCTGTCCTGCCTCACCAAATGCTACCTGTCCTGCCTCACCAAATACTACCTGTCCTGCCTCACCAAATACTACCTGTCCTGCCTCACCAAATACTACCTGTCCTGCCTCACCAAATACTACCTGTCCTGCCTCACCAAATACTACCTGTCCTGCCTCACCAAATACTACCTGTCCTGCCTCACCAAATACTACCTGTCCTGGCTCACCAAATACTACCTGTCCTGCCTCACCAAATGCTACCTGTCCTGGCTCTCCAAATACTACCTGTCCTGCCTCACCAAATACTACCTGTCCTGGTTATTATGACCCAGCATATACCAATTGTGACTGGATACACTCTGATCAGTGTATGTTAACCATTTGTACTAATGACACCATTTATGTTGTGAAGGAATCTCTTTGTTATACACATTGTTTGTGTATATATATATTTTGTCTGTATTTAATATTTTGATGTACAGGCAGTTCCACTCACAGGACTCCGGGTCAAAGGTGTCACCAACCCAACAGGCAACATGATAGAGGCAAAACCAGTGAATGTCACCCTGAGACAAGGGGACAGAGCAACCTTTGAACTCGAACAAGGCGAGATGGGACCCAGAGGACACATTTATTGAACCAAAGAGCCCCAATGAGGTTTTTCAGGGCCCTTAGATTGACTACTAAGGGAAGCCCAGATAAGGTACTGCTAACCGGTTGGCCCAAACTACTGAGAGATTTATTAAAATGTGTACAATCATGTGTACACATACCATTGCGACATGTACAATCATGGGGACCTAGCGGGGGACAACCAGAATAAAATAGGGATGGACAATAACCAAGGGGCAGACCCCCACCAAGCAACAAAAAGAAAAAAAACTCAAAATCACAACATCTCCAGGAGGAACAGAACCAGCCACTGTGTAATAGGCGACAAGCTGCACAGTACCTTGCGCCCTTACCAGCAACGATACTACCTCCTACCCAAGGTCAAACAGTGGCAATGAAAACCACAGCTGACCCTAAGGGCGGGCAATCACCGAGCAGCAAAAGATTCCTATGGAGGTAGTTCCCAAATGACTTGTGGAAGATAGCTGTAAGGGCAGTATTTACAGGGCACCCAGGAAAGATGGCCCAAGGTGCATGCAGCGCCAGTACTTCTTGAATTACTCCTGGCTCACACACCACCACACAAGAGAACAACACCGCAAAGGTACAGCACTGCTCAAAGACAGGAGCCAGAGTCGAACGACCGCCACACAACACTTCAGCCTCAGAACTGGGGTTGGGGTAGTCAGCACGATGGGTCTGGGACTCTTCCTTCCCCCTCCTGGGAAGGGAAAAGCTGTGCAGACAGCAGCAGTTGTGATGTCATGCTTGTTTGTTTGTTTTCAGAATGTGGACTGCTTGATAGTTTGTTTTTCGGTAGCAATTTTCACCAGGTGGAGTCTGTTTTTTTACGCGTACCTTTCTGGGTACCTAACCCGGTAGATAGCAGACTTGGAATGCTTCCAACCACATGGAGGATTCTATAGGCCATTGCTCCTCATGCCTCTCTGAGGGGTCCAGGTTCTGACTCGTAGTCCCCAGTAGGCTTAGAACTCCAATCGAATTGACTGATGCGACGGTCTAACATTTACACATCAGCCCGGTATAGCTCCAGGGAGCCAGAGGGACTCTCCACAGGGAGATCTTTTTCAGTGTTAGAAATCCCAATATGTAGAAAATGCTACTCAAAGTTACTGAAGCTAATTAAATATATAATTTTAAATGTAAATGATGAAAAACATTGGAACTAAGTCATTGCATCAACATAGGAAGCCAGGGCTAGGAGCCTAACTCATCCTTTGAGTTCATCTAGGTGAGTTCATCTAGTTTAGTAACATACACACTCTTACTTACAACATTCTGCTCAAAGAATTAAGAGGAAATACTTACGCAAGGCTGTGATCACGTTTAATTAGAGTGATGACTGTCTTAGTATTCATATCCATGACTCGAACACCAGAGTCTGTGGCCCAGGCAAGAAACTGTCCTGCCCACTTCATGGCTCTCGCAGGACCACTACTCTCACTTAGGATCGTGGGGCGTAGCTGGCCAAACAAGGCCTTTTCGTATAAAATTACCTTGTTTGTACCTAAACAGATGAAATTATTACATAATTATATATTTATATTAAAAATAATTAGGACAAACATAATTATATCATTAAACATGTATTTATGTTATATTTACTTTATCAAATGCAAACAGATGACTGTATCAATTCATTTTGTTCAATGTATGACACACCTTCCCTTTGGTGAAGTGTATATTAACACAGACAATGCACACAAGTAGTATTGAACCTTGTGATACTCCTCTGGTAATACTTATACAGTCTGATACATTTCCTTTAACCCTTAACCCTTAAACTGCGCATGGCGTATATATACGCCATGAGTAACATGTCCCATGGTGCGCATGGTGTATATATACACCATAGGATGCCCGGCACAATTCAAATGGCCTGGGTTCACATCAGCTTCCTCAGGGCACTTGTAAACAGACGTCATGTTTAAAAAAAATCGTGGGCAATATTCTCTGGTGTGAGCGCCACAGCACTGTTGGAGAAACCAAGGCTGGTGCACGCAGCATGAGCTAATAGCACTGCTGTTCAGCTTGTGATCACAGCATCGCCAAAAAAATTCAAAATAAATATGTAACTGCTATTATTTAGCAATGACAATATTACAGATGACCCCTGACTGTGATAAAAATGACCAGGATTGTGATAATAGGAGGATTGTTGTGATAATTAGCTCTGTGTGAGAGTACTTTAACCACTCGATTATCCGGGATTCGAACATCCGGAAAACGCCCTTATACGGCCAAAATGGCCATGGGAGCCGGATAAAAGCTGGTTTAGCCAGATAAAAAATCGGAGCCGGTTAACTTGCTGTCGATGTTACACTATCCGGAAAGTCAGCCGGATAATCATTGAATTGTCTGGATATGAAAGCCATGGGGCGGGCCGTACCGTATTAATCCCATCTGCCTGTGGTTCGAGGCGCATGGTGGAGGAGGGGGAGGGATGGGTGGTGTCGAGAGAGAGGGGAGCATTGGGAGGGACCACCTGGGATGATAAGGGGGGAATGGGGAGCGGCCTATACACTACAAGTACAGGGATTACCGTTAATTTTAGAACAATTCATTATAGCCAAAATGAAAAGAAATACTAGTAATTATGCAATAAAAAATACCATACAAGTTTCCTAAAAACAATTTGCACAGGCTGAAGTTTCCTTAAAAAATATTGTTATTGTTTTTCCTGCTGGCAGCCTACGTAACGTGCCTCCTTGCCCTAAGTGGACCCATCCAGGCCTGGTCAAGCCACGTGCACTCGTCCCTCGTGTTATACCACAGTGCCGTGCCGTTAGTGAAAAAATTTTTTAAATAACTTTTTTATTTTGATAGTAACTTTGAACATTTTTGGCTAATACTATGTCTGGTAGCAGTATCAATCGTTCTGGAGGTGTTAAGAGGAAGAAGGGTGTCCTAACAATTAAGGACAAGTTACGTGTTATACAACTCTGTGAAAATGGCCGGTCAACTTCAAGTGTTGCCAAGGAATTTAATATAGGCACTAGTACTGTTTCTGATATAAGGAAACAAAAAGAGAAAATTCTGAAATACATTTCAACCTGTGAAAGTGAAGGTGCAAGCACTAGCAGAGGGTGTGGTAGAAAGACTATGAAAACTTTGACGCATGTACAGTTGGATGAGACAAGTGGTTTGCTCAGCACTGCACAGCTAGCGTGACAATTTGCAGCCCAGAAATACAAAATGCTCAAGCAGGTTTGCAGCAAGCCTTAGAATAAAGGATTTCGAAGCCAGTGAAGGATGGGTTCCAAGGTTCAAAGGTAGGCACAATATTGTGAAGAGGAAAATTGTCGGTGAAAAATTGAGTGCAGATGAAAGCAGTGTAGAACTATTTAAATAAGTTAAGAGCATACATTTTGTCAAATAATTTATATTCTTATGAAATTTATAATGCTGATGAAACTGGGCTGTATTGGAAAACTTTACCAGAAAAAACTCTAGGAATGAGAAGTGAAGGTTGTGTGCCAGGCTGTAAGGTCAACAAGGACAGGCTGTCAGCCATGATGTGGGTGCGAATGCCGACGGCACAGACAGAATCACGTGTGCAATTGTTGGCAAACCAAAGAATAGAAAAGAGCCTTGCAACATTGCATGGATAGACTGATAGTCAAATATTATAATTCACAAAATGCATGGTTTACATATGAGGTCTTTCTTTCCTGGTTTCATGACGTGTTCTGCTTGTTCTCCTGTTTTAGGGCGCCTACGTTTCTGGGTGCCTATCCCGGTCAGTGGCAGACATAGAATGCTCCCAACCACACGGGGGTTTCTATAGGCCATTGCTCCTCGTGCCTCTCTGAGAGAGCCAGGTTATGGCTCGTGGTCCCTGGTAGGCAAGAACTCCTAGCACTTTGATGCCAGAAAGTTATACATATCCATTCAGCGTGGATAGCTCCGGGAAGCCGACGGGGCTTCCCCCAGAAACGTAATAGCTCATGAATATATAATAAAAAACCAGCGTTGAATGTAATGAAACGCCATCTTCTGGGTGAGACCCGGAGGCTCCCTGGAGCTTTACCGGCTGATATGCTAATGTCAGACTTTGGCATCAGTCGTGTGTATGGAGTTCTAGGGCCTACCGGGGACAACGGCCAGAACCTGGCCCCCTCAGAGGCAAGGGGAGCAATGGCCTATAGAAACCCCCGTGTGGTTGGAAGCATTCTATGTCTGCCATCGACCGAGTCAAGCATCCAGAAAGGTAAGCATTCCAAAACAAACCCCTATTCTGGTGAAAATTGCTACCTAAAGTCGAACTAGTGGATAGAACTCTTCAACAGAAAACAAGGAAACTAGTATGACGTCATACGTCACCGCGCCGCTGTCTGCGCAGCTCCCCCCTCCCCGGGAGGGGGAAGGGGGAGCCCCAGACCTCCCACGCCAGCAATCCACCCATCAGTTCTGAGGCTGGATGTCAAAACACGCGAAAAACCGCCGACCGGAGGGAGGGAGGGTTGCCGGGGAGCCTCCGGGTCTCACCTAGGAAATGGCGTTTCATTACATTCAACGCTGGTTTTCTGGGGGGAGCCCCGTCGGCTCCCCGGAGCTAACTACCCACAGAGGAAGGTCAAAGGGACAGAACCGGGAGGCGGACACCACGCACCCCCCACGGAGGCGAGACAACCGGCAGCAAACGCCAACCCAAGGCGCCACAGCCCCGAAAAGTCCCGGTAACAACACGAGAACGACGAGCAGCAAGGCCCCTGCACGAACACCAAAAATCCATGCCCAAAAGACCGCAAGGCCACGTCGCCCAGACGGCAGCGAGAGCAGCGAAGCCACGAACGCCACAGGCATGAGGGAAGAACACAGGCAGCTTAGCCGCAAGAACATGGCTGACCACCCGGGACACTATTACCCGCGAACCGGGAAGAACAGAACCGGACCAACGCAAAACGCGCTCCGGACTCAAACGCCGTGGCACACAAACAACAGTGGAGGGCCGCCACTGAACACAAAAAACGACACACCCCCAGCCCGACAAATGAAGCACCAACAAACCCTGAACCCCTCCCGAACGCAGCAGCCCCACCCCGCGCCAGAAAAGATGGAGACTGCTGCCACCGAACAACCAAAACGCTAAAACCGAAGGAGCAAGAAAACTCAGCGACTCGACCCCCAGAGGCAAAGGCCAAAAGGAAAGAGCCGACGAAAAAACACACCGGAACCGAAGGGGCACTACCAACCGAGGAGAAGACAGAGCACGCTGACCAGAGACCAGGATGGTGAAAGCGGCGCACGAACAGGCCGGAGGTGAAACGACGCACAAGACAGCTTACTAACGGTGCAGAAGCAACACCAAGACCGAAAGCAAGCTGAAGCGGCTCCGCCAGCGCCGCACGAAAAGAGGCGACAGTATGTGGCAAGACGACGGCCCCCAACCCCCACCAGAAAACCAAGCCGAGAGTAAACCAAGCTAACAAGAGTAACCACCTAAGAAGGGACAGGAAAAGGAAGGACCGCCAAAATACCCCATACTGCTGCCAAGAGAAGCACGCAGGTGGGACACCTACCACAAAGCCACCTGACCACCAACCGGAGGCGAGACCGCGAGGCAGAACATAAGCAGTCCCGACAAGGCCCCTCCGAGCCCAGAAAAAGGCGGAGCCGCGGGAAGATCTCGGGCGCGACCACCGAAACCCAGGCGGCACAAGGAGATGGAACGTCTGCCGAACAGAAAAACTCCCCAAAGCATGCAAGCCCGCCAGGAGTTCAGAAACGACGGGTCCGAGGCGAGACATCGTAAGACCCCAAAAAAAAAAAAAAAACGGCAGGGCAAGCTACGAAACCAAAGAAGGCGGAAGGGTCGCCGCCAGAACAGTACCCAAACCAAGGGGTACGAACAACTGCAATAGACAGAGACAAAGAAGCACATCACAGGACACAGCCTGAAAAACACCTAAGAACACACACAGAACACCCCTGCTGCAGAGGAGGCAGGAAGAAAGAGCAGAAGCACAAAAACCCCAGGATAACAACCAGGGGTGGACAATCAGGCAGGGACAGAAAAAAACCCACGTAATCCCCAGGCACAAAACGGCAGCAAAGTGCCACTCCACAACCGGACACAGGAACAAGGACACGCCACCGTGAAACACGGTACCAATGCACACGTGCAGCAGCAGCAACAGGCACCACTGCAACATGCAACATGTAAATAGCAACTCCCTTCCGCAAAGGCAGAGACCGGAGCAGGCAGACCCCAGACAGGGACAACGGAGACACGACAAAACCCTGCAGGCCCAGAAACCTGCACCAGGCAACCGACGGCGGAGAAACCCCGCTCGATACCTGCTGGATGAGGTACTGGGAGCTCTTTTACACCTCAAACCTGGCCCAAGGCCAGGCTAGACCGCCAGAGGGTGGCCCACCAGGCAGCTGCTAGGAGCAGTCCACCGGCCCACATACCCCCACAACCAGGACGGGCCGGAACTGCCATGCGAAAACAGGCTAGTGTGCCCTGGAAGTCCACGGACGAACCAGCAAGAAGGCTTATGC